ACTGCTACTATTTCTCAGAGTGGTTTCCACATTATTGTAACTGAGATTGTTTAATCATCTTGGCCATGTTGACTGAGGCATTATTGTCACTGCAGGCTGGGTCCACAGCACATTCTAGGTCAAAATGTTTTTGGCTAGAATTTGGCTTAGTTAGTTATGCAAACCCAGACAATCTGGGTTTACTATTGTTTAATTAGCCATGAGATGGTGTGTTGCATGGACACAGCTGATATATCTGAAAATATTGGAGAAATGGTGTTTACTTTCCACCAGCAAAAGACCATATGGACACTCAGTGTTTATGCTTTATTCACTGTGTGTATCTCTATTAGAGAGCTGCTTCTTCTTCTCCTCATTCAACTTTATTCCTTCTCAGTGCTACTTTTTCACAGTGGAGTTTGGCTTATGCAAGCAAGAAGGGCAACTGAGAGTCTACGGAGCTGGTTTGCTCTCTTCTATTAGTGAATTGAAGGTAAGCCCCAACTGTACACTCAGGTGGAACTTTTATTTATTTCATTTGGCTTCACTGTTCTGCTTTAGACTTTCACCTGAATTGATGCCTCAAAATGCTTCAAGGAAATCTGTCATTGGTTATTTTCTCAGCGAAGGATATGATAGTGTTTTATTGTGTGCTATCAAATTTGTGTCAACTCTTTGTGACCACAACTCTCATGAAATAGAGCCAAGGGTCATGTTGGAAATGACCAGGCTGAGTCTAAGGGAAGGGTCCACGTCATCAGTTTGGAGTCCCTTTGTGCCCATAACAGAACTAAGTCCAGCCCTCCTTGAGTTCCATTGACCCTTATCTACTGCCAATTTGCTTTAACTATTAGTAGTTATGGTTCTTGTAATGAGCTGTAATGAATGGATTAAACTTTAACTCATTTGAACCCTGGTTTCCTGATTTCTTGCATCTAACAGAACACTGAATACAATATTCATGAGTTCCATTGTTATATGTTCTAGCATGGCATTTTAATCAATAAAATATTGTTAATTTAGAGCAGGTTTAGCAGAAGAAAGCTTGGCATTAACAAGAATCTAAAGTATTCAGCAATATTATTCAATTGATAGAATGGCAGCTACTGGTCTAGAAATGTACAACCTAAAGTCCCCTGAGTAACCTGAAGCCCTCAAAATGTTTCAATATGGCCCACAAAAATTCCCAAAATGTGTTACCAAAGAATGTGAATGTGGCAGACAGGGAGGAATTGTGACTATCAGTAGAATTAACTCTATTTAATTGTAATTATATATACCTGAAATGAATTTTAGTTTTCATCTTAGCACCATTTACTAGTTTGGGGTGACTCAAGAGGTCAAGGGTGATTCTTGGTTTGAAAGTTGTGCACTTTATAGAACAAGACATATTCTTAAGAATTACAGTAACAAACAATAAAAACAAACAAAAAGCATTAAAAGTTAGAATCCACATAGAATGTTACTAGCTATCTCTAAGGGTTCTTCTGTACTGATGTGTCTATAATGTGCACATTTCAATCTTTTCTATTTTGGTGTGTCTGATAACCAGCATGCACTTTCCGGAAATGCCAAAGTCAAGTCTTTTGAACCTACTGTCACCTGCAAGCAGGAATGTATGATTACTACCTTCCAGGAAGTTTACTTTATTTCTGAAAGCTTTGAAGATGCAAAAGAAAAGATGAGGTAATTTACTGTTTGCCTCTGGGAAACTGAAAACTAGCAGAATGAAAGACATCCAAATGTTCCATTCCCGGCCCTTGGAAAAAAATAACACCTTATCCCATTTAGGTTAGGTGTTAGGTTACCAAAAGGCCAGATACTCAAAAGCACAATATAAATGTTACTTGCAATATAATGCCAGTGTTGTCTTGAGGTTTGCCTTTTCTGTTCTGTTTTGCTTTATAAATAACACAGCTACATTCAAAAATATCAAATATTTATTTTAAATACTTTCCCTTTTTCCAGCAATTGCTCATAGACAAGGGTAATTTTCAGTTTTACTATGATTTATGAAATAAACTATGATAGCTGGCTTTACCAAAAGGGCAAACTACAAATCAAGCAAACAGATAAAATTATGACTTATTTTGCTGTGTGATCTCAGTTTATCTTCTGCATCCATTTAATTTTCTCATTTATATTTTTGTTCTGGTTTAATTAATTTTGGGGCCTCTCCCTGCTGGATTATCTTCATTTTTTAGTTATTTCTCTGGCTTTACCTTTTTCCAAGTTAGGGCAAATTTGTGGACTATTTCTCTCCTTTCTTGTCTCTTTCCTGGGACATTATTTCTGCACTGGTCACAATAAAGCAGGAAAATATTGACTATATATCCCATAATCCCTTGCCACTGGATCTATTGGTTGGCTTATTGGTTGGAGGCCACTGATTTGTCTATTTCTGATCCACACTATCACATCTGCCACACCTTTTCTTCTTTAATGGCAATCATTCAATAGATTAGAAACAGTGGGACAATTATTAAGCTATTTAAATGTTTATAATTGACTGAAACTGCCACTATGTAGACAATTCTCTTTTTTTCTTTCCTTATCCGAACAGAGAGTTTGCAAAGACAATCAAACGCCCGTTTGGAGTGAGCTACAATCCATATACCCAAAGCATTCAGATCCTAAAAGATCCACAAAGTATTGCACATATGGTGAATGAGTTACGGCATGAACTGGACATTGTCAGCGAGGCCCTCATCAAGATGGACAAGTAACTGGGAGTCTAACCTGTCTAATAACTTTTCTGCATTCAGTAGCTGTGGATCCCACCCACACATACACATTCTAGCAAGATAATACTGCTTTTGTGCTTCATGCAGAATGCTTCTTCCCAAAATGATCAATGAAAGGAAAATATCTTTGTTTTAATATTGTTTTTTGGAAGATTAATATCAATGTTTACATACCACTCTTCCCTCCTCTCTTCAGTTCCTTTCTATTTATTTGAAAAGAAAGTAGAAATAATTTATCTAGAACAATTGATAGATTATGAAATGCTATATTTAAAGGCTAATGGTCCATATGGTCCACTGTTATGTGCAACCAATGATGGCTAGTATTAGCTGCTATGGAAGGAGCAATAAAACCTTAAAACTATCTCCAGAAGCGTGTGTTCTGGTTTATCTCCTAACATATTTTTTTTAATTGCAAAACCACAGCTATAATCATATTATACCTGCTTACCTAGCAGAAATATCAGTTAAATACTTATTATTGCATTCAATAATGAATTATTTCTTGTTTCTGAGTATAAATAAGTACAATATATTTGTTTCTGAGTAAGCACTGCATGTTCCATTTTTCCTATTACATTTCAATATGAATAATATTAAGTAGAATATAGCACTTATAATTTGGGAAGTTGTAATTGATTGAATTTGAACATCATGTTAAGCCATAGTTTACTTAAATAAGACTTGCTGAAGCATCCACAATTGGCTGAAGTTACATATCATGCTCTCTCATCATGGTGCCAATGGGTAGCAGGTGCCTAAGTAAAAAATAGGTACCTAAGAACCTATTTTGTATGCCAGAATCTTGATTTTACTTTTTATTTTATAACTGAACAAACCATCATGCCAACTATGAACGGACAGGCCCGACTTTCTGATTGCAGCTTTAGTGCCCGCAACATGCTCTCAAATGTTGAAATGTGCCCACAAGTACTGCATGGCTTACAAACTACACATTAACTTGGTTCACACGGTACCTGAAATAAAAACCAAAGGAATCATTCAAGAGCCATGGTGGCACAATGGTTGGAATGCAGTACCGGAGGCTATTTCTGCTAAACATTGAAAAATATTTTGTCAGATAGTTGATTTCTGGAGAACCTTCCTGGTGAGATTTTTTTAGCTAGCCTTGTTCATCATATGTCAGACAACAAATGTATCATGGATACCGTAAAGTTGAACTATTTGATGTATGTTGCATCCGGTGGGAAGCTAGGACAAGATGAAATAAACTAGAGATTATGTCAACATGTGTATTTCTTTCAGCTCCTTCCCTCTTCATAGGGCAGAGACAAATTAAGACCATATTGTTATGACAGCCTTGCAACAAGATGGGCAAGCAAACCAATTTTAAAAAATAAGTAAAAATAAATAAAATAACTATTATAGTATTTAGTCAGCCCATCTGACCAAAGCAGGCTAGATTTATTTAGAACCATATTGACTTCTGATATCTTCAACCAAACCAAGGATTGCCAATACTGTAACAAATAAGCCATACCTTTTCTAAGATGACTCACATGCTGCAATTGTGAAACCATCTGTAACTCAAATGCCCCAGGTCATTTTTATTCAGAATTATTTTCATACCACTAGTGGGCACATTAGAAAATACAGACAGTCCTTGATTAATGACTTGTCAAATTTAGTAGCTGTTCAAATTTATGACAGCTTTATGAGTGGTCCTTGATTTTACCACAGTGCTCTTTGCAAGCTTCACAGGTGGTTTCCGAGAAGCAAAATCAAGAAGTCCTGGTAAACTGCTTCCATCCTGCTGCCAAGAAACATCAGAAGAAACATCAGAAGTCTCGAAGGAGGCTTTGTCTTTCATAGACACACAACACACATACACACACACAGGGAAGTATTGGTAAACTACTTCCATACGGCTGCCAAGAAGCGTGAACGTGTCCATCAGAAATGGAGCTCCACTTTGTTTTTCATACACACTCACTCACTCAAACACACAGAACAAAGCAACTCCTTTGACATGTCTTGCCCACGTAATCCTGGTTATTCACGCTCAGCACTCCTCTCACGAGTTCGCGTCGCCACATCTTCCACAGCTCCAAGCCACAGCTGCAAAAGCCGAAGGGGAAAAATGAGCCTTGCATTGGCCTTAGTAGTCCTCTCTCTACTTGCCCGACCTGGCTACGTCCACAAACCTCTGGCCTTCGGTTTTATATATATATATATATATATTACTTCCAATTTTACGCGGGAGAAAACCCGAATAACCAAAGATCCACATATATACAGTACTGTAAAACAGCTCCTGCAATTGCAGCCAGAAGCTGGGAAAGGCGGACCCATCGGCCGCCGCGAGGGCTTCCGCAAGTGGTTCCGCCTTCTTCGGCGACTATGGCCGTCGCCCGCCGGGATGCAACGCCAGCGCTACTCGCTTGGGTAGGTCCCCCGTAGCGGTGCTTTAAGAGGGCGGAAGGAAGTGGCCTCCCTCTGGGCACGGGAAAAAAAAAAGGGGGGGGGTTAAAAGGGCCTATCGTGGGTCAGGCTACGGCCCGGGAGGAAAGAGGCGGACTTTTGTCTTTGCAAGGGGAATTTTCCCGCGTTTTGTTTGCCTGCCTGTTGTTGTTTTGTTTGGTAAATGAAGCGTCTGGTGTGCATTTGTCATCGCGCAGCAAGGCGGTGGTGGTGATTAGTGTTTTTACCCCTCCTTCCCTCCACTTTCACCCATTACTGAAAGTGACAGGATCTTATTAAAACTGTATTTTCGGAAGAATTAGCTATTGGTTAAGTTTTGGTTGGGTTGAAACTAAAGGGGAAATACCTGCGGCTATTAAGAATTACACGTCGGGCAGGCAAGCAAGCAAGCAAGCAAGCAAGCAAAGAAGATCCTCCGGTCACACGTTAATGCCTTTGTCAGATCCAGAGACCCGTCAATCCCATCACAATTCAAGCGAACAAGCCCTTTAATGTCTTCGCTATCGCGCGGTTTCGAAAGACACCGGAGCTCGGTTCACGACACATTCAGCAGCGCTAAATTGTTCGTATAGTATAGTTGCAATGGCAGCAATTTAAAGAGCGTCGCAAAAATGGTTATTATCCCTTCAAATGCTTTGGAAGACTTTACACTTGAGAGAGAAGTGAAAGGTCTCTTTTAAGGCTTTCTCATTTTGGGGGAGAAAGTCTGTATATTCCAGGCTTGCCAGCCGGCTGTGAAAAGAGTTTTGGCATTTGCTGCTCCCTGCTGGCCGATGGGTCTTACTTTATTAGCCCTTTGGTTGGGACTGCTTTGTAAGGTGTACAGGTTGTCTTTGACTTGTAAAATTTGGTGACTGTTCAAAGTTACAACGGCAATGAAAAAAGTGACTTAAAACCGTTTTTCACACTTACTACCATGGCAGCATCCCCATGGTGATATGATCAAAATTCAGATGCTTGGCAGCTGACTCATGTTTATGACGGTTGCAGCAGCACCCTGTGGTCATGTGATCCCCTTTTGTGACCACCTGACCAGCAAAGTCAATGGGGAAGCCAGATTCACTTAACCAGGTCACTAATTTGACAATCGCAGTGATTCACTTAACAACAGTGTCAAGAAAGATTGTAAAACGGGCCAAAATTCACATAATAAATGCTTCGCTTATGAACAGAAATTTTAGGCTCAATTGTCGTAAGTCGCGGACTGCCTGTATACAGAAAACAGCATTCAATCTCTGGCCCCAGTAAATGAGCACTCAATAGGATAAAAACCTGTAAGTCAAGAGTCACAATTAAACTTGATAAATTTAATTCTGGATTAATGTTATTAGTTTCATGCTGGAACCTGTCTGTTGGAATTTGCTGTCTCCATGATTAATCACCTATTAGCTGAATATCCTAGCAATTTAAAATATAGGTAGTCCTCAACTTACAACAATATATTTCATGAACATTTGAAGCACTGAAATAAGTGACTTATGACTGTTTTTCACACTTTGGGCCATTGCAACATTGTCATGGTCACATGATCAAAATTCAAACGCTTGGCAACTGGTTCATATTTATGAGCCTTTGCTTTGTCCCAGGGTCACATTTTGTGACAAGCAAAGTCCTTTTGACCTTTTGACAAGCAAAGTCAATGGGGAAGCCAGATTTATTTAACCATGTTACTAACTTAACAACTGTGGTGATTCACTTAACACTTATAGCAAGAAAGGTGGTAGAATGGGGCAAAAATCACTTGTCAAATGTTTTACTTAATTACAGAAATTTTGGGCTCATTTGATATGTCGTAAGTCGAGACTACCTGTATTAGGAAAATTGTATATATTCCTTTGTGCAATGACAATCTAGTTCAGGGGTCTTCAGCCTTGGCAACTTTAAGAATTGTGGACCAATTACTTCAGAATTGAAGTCCACAGGTCTTCAAGTTTCCAAGGCTGGAGACCCCTGATTCTAGTTCCTTCTCTGATTCACGAAGAAAGGCATTTGTAGATGATAGCGTATATTATGGTTTGGGACTAGGATATTATGGAGATCAGTGGGATCGTTCTAGTTTCACCTAAAGACACATAATTTTCAAGTGCCCTAGGTGTCATGGTTCCAGAAAACACCAACTCCAATTAAAAACTCCGAGACAGGCATTTTCTCAAAGTTTCCTTTTATTAGAGGAGGTACGCTGGCACATCTGGAAAATCCTGAATCTGAAAGTTCCGGGTTTCCCTCCAATAAGTAAAAAATTACAAATCCACTGCCTGCACCCCTCATTGCATCACATGCCCGAATCACCATCCGTCCCAACTTGAGCTCAACCACTCCTCAGCCAGGTGCAGGAAAACATGACCTTGACTTTAAAGAAGAATGCTATTATGTCTCTATTATACTATTATGCTATTATGAGGTCCATAAAATCCCCCCTCCCATCTTCCCATCTTCCCATGCTCAAGAATGTGGCAGCGTGGAAGCTTCTGGTGTTAATATGGCTTCCAAAGCTGACACTAGGAATGAGACTTCTCAGCCCATAGATCTTGTTCTTTGGAAAAGAATCCCCTCCCCACCTCAACATTAGGCTGACTGCCAGTCTGTCAATTGTTTGGACAGAAAAAAACCAACAGTTGAAACAACCTTGCTTCATAACAAACCTGTTTCACAGTAAATGAGAGGTGATAGTTTGGTGTTGTACTTACTGTGGTGGAGACTGTGGGTTCTCTACTGAAGATTTTTAAGAACAGTTTGAACAGTTTGAAATTATTCATGAATAATTTCATTGGTTTTCTTGAACATTGCACAGAGGACTAGATACTGCTAGTCCTCGACTTACAACAGTTCACTTAGTGACCATTCAAAGTTACAACGGCACTGAAAAAGTGACATGGCCATTTTTCACACAACCGTTGCAGCATCCTCATGGTTATGTGATCAAAATTGAGATGCTTGGAACTAATTAACATTTTTGGCTGTTGAAGTGTTCAGGGGGGTCATACGATCCCCTTTTGCGGCCTATTGGCAAGGGTTAGGGTTAGGGAGAATGGGAAAATGAGATTCACTTAACAACCATGTTCCTAACTAAATAATTGCATGGATTCACTTAAACTGTGGTAAGAAAGGTCGTAAAATGAGGCAAAGTTCACTTAACAACAGAAATGTTGAGCTCAGTGGGGGTCATAGGTCAAGGACTGCCTGTGTACATATTCTAACTCTATGATTCCATTTTATGGCCCAAATGTTCCAAAAAACCTTGACTGAGAATTAGTTATAAATGAAATACTCCTAGCTATGGTATATGTTTGATGTTGATATCCTGGGGCAGTGGCCCCCAACCTTTTTTGTGCCACGGCCCGATACCGGCATCACAAAATGATCCGCGGCCCGGTACCGGCATCAGCACCCATGGCAAGGCGACCCGAGTGACCGGCCAGCCAGCCGTCCCCTGCTTCTCCCCACCACCTTCAACTCCTCCTTTGTACCTTTGTCGATGGGCTTCAGGACGGCTTCGGGACGGTCGCTCGGCTCGCCTTGCCTTGGGTGCTGAAAGAATCCTCGTGCCTTAGTTTTGTTCGAAGCCGCCCCCCCCCACCCTTCGATGAAACTAAGGCGTGAGAATTCCTTCAGGACCCAAACGCTGCTTTCCAACTGGAAAAGCTCACCGGAAGCACTTACTCATCAAAACAAGATGGTGGCGCCCAGCAAACCGGCGGCCCGGTAGAAAATGTTCCACGGACTGGTACCGGTCCAGGGCCCGGTGGTTGGGGACCCCTGTCCTGGGGCACAAAGTTAACTCTAACTGTCCTTTTATCTCTTACTGGAGAGGGATTTGTAAATTGCTTTGTGGAATGGAATGGCAGGTAAGCGCAAATGAATAAACTAACAACATTGGAAGAAGAACATGTGAGAATTTGTAATAATATGACTGATAATATAAGATGGAGTTTCCTAAGGAGATGTTTATGATATATAAAATATTCTTATTGGATTTTTAAAATTGCTCTGAAAGCAGGAAAGTGTTAATTTGAAAGAATTATAATGTAAATGACACAATTCACATTGATGTATGACTGGAAAAGAGAAAGAGAAAAAACAATATGACTTTTCTTAAATTTACATTATTATAATAACCACCTTGAAAAGGGCGTATTTCAACCCTTAATATTTCTAGGTATGGCTGACAAATTCCCTTTTGTAATTCCAGAATTTTGCTGTAAGAATCCTGATAAACAAATAGTTAGCATTTTCTGAATCACCTTGGTACCATCTGCTGTCTTGCAATCTAATAGTTCTCTCTGCTGCCAGTCTTTGTGGACGAAATTGGACTCAGTGTAAGCTTTGCCAATTTCTAATGCATATGTTTTAAAAGATTATCTTTTCAATAATAAGCTAGTAAATGTAAATTTCAATAAAGAGTTGTGTGTGTGATTGGTAGAATGTTGTGTTCAATATCTAAAGGCTTATTTGCTCTCTTGACTGGCAAAGATGATCTCTGAATAACCATGAACTTACAGATTGTCCGGAAAGGGCTATTACAAGCATTAATATTAAGTAATTCCTATAAATCAGGGGTCCCCAACCCCGGTCTGTGGAACAATTTCTACCGGGCCGCCAGTTTGCTGGGCGCCGCCATCTTGTTTTGATGAAAAAGTGCTTCCGGTGAGCTTTTCCGGGTAGAAAGCGGCGTTTGGGTGCTGAAAGAATCCTCACGCCTTAATTTCATTGAGGGAGGGGGCGGCTTCGAAGAAAACTAAGGCGCGAGGATTCTTTCAGCACGCATGGCAAGGCGAGCCGAGCGACCGTCCCGAAGCCGTCGCGAAGCCCATAGACACAGGTACAAAGGAGGAGTTGAAGATGGTGGGGAGAAGTGGGGGACGGCTGGCTGGCCGGTTGCTCGGCTCGCCTTGCCATGTGTGCTGATGCCGGTACCGGGCCACGGATGATTTTGTGATGCCGGTACCGGGCCACGGCAAAAAAAAGGTTGGGGACCACTGCTATAAATAGTATAACTATAGTTCAATGTATGGTTTATTTGTCTATGAGATATGAATAGACAGAACCTGAATGAATCAGTTTAAATAAATAAGTCTATTTCCCTCCTTCACTTTTTTTTCAGGGAGCAAACAGCTATGGACAACTTGGCCTTGGCCATAAAAATGATGTGCACCTGCCTGTGAAATCATTTCTCTTTAATCAGAGTTGTATCAAAAACATTACTGGAGGTGGAGGCCATTCTGCTGTTCTTACTGGTAAAAATCCAAGTATAACATTTCCTTGTGTATTGTGAAATTTAGCTCTGGAAGATTGCCCTGCATGATCAGTCAGAACCCCCCAACTACATTTCAGTCTTTGTACGGTGTTTATGGATCTAAGATTTCCCCCTATATACATAATATAACAAACTGAAATATAGGTCCAATTGTATGGAGAAAAGGAAGTTAAAACTAAGATGATGCTTCATTATTATCTTCAACTTTTTTTTTATCTAGCTCTTCAAACAGATCAAACTCAGGAAACAAGAACCACTTGCATTTATGGAAAGATCTTTGGTAGTAATGTGGCCAAATGGCAACAGTTTGTTAAAGCAATTCTTCAGCATAATTTATACTTAGTATACTTAAGGTGGAATTAGTCTGGGTCTTTTTCTGACATTTCAATGGAGTCTGGAGTCTTTTGCAGTAGCCCTGTTGCTTCTTGTAAAACTTTCTGCTTCATCCTCCATGTCCTTAGGATCTGTTAGATATTTTGTCACAATTTTGTCACAATTGTCATCATCATTGTATTTTTAATAATAAAAATAGAAAGAATCCAAAGCTGAAAGCAATTCATTTCAAAGAGGCAGTACAAAAGCAGTGTTGTCCTAAAGCAGATGTTGTTCTACAATGAACAGTCATGACTTTAATTGTCTAAAGGAAAACAATTCCAATAAATTTTCTCCAAGTGATGTGCTGCTACTAAGAAGCCAGCTTCCCAACTACTCGTATAGGTTGAATGATATACACGTGAAACTCGAAAAATTAGAATATCATGCAAAAGTTCATTTATTTCAGTAATGCAACTTAAAAGGTGAAACTAATATATGAGATAGACTCATTATATGCAAAGCAAAATAAGCCGTGATTTGTCATAATTGTGATGATTATGGCTTACAGCTCATGAAAACCCCAAATCCACAATCTCAGAAAATTAGAATATTGTGAAAAGGTTCATTATTCTAGGCTCAAAGTGTCCCACTCTAATCAGCTAATTAAGCCATAACATCTGCAAAGGGTTCCTGAGCCTTTAAATGGTCTCTCAGTCTGGTTCAGTAGGAATCACAATCATGGGAAAGACCACTGACCTGACAGTTGTGCAGAAAACCATCATTGACACCATAAGAAGGGAAAGCCTCAAAAGGTAATTGCAAAAGAAGTTGGATGTTCCCAAAGTGCTGTATCAAAGCACATTAATAGAAAGTTATGTGGAAGGAAAAAGTGTGGAAGAAAAAGGTGCACAAGCAGCAGGGATGACCGCAGCCTGGAGAGGATTGTCAGGAAAAGGCCATTCAAAAGTGTTGGGGACTTTCACAAGGAGTGGACTGAGGCTTGGGTCAGTGCATCAAGAGCCACCACACACAGATGGATCCTGGACATGGGCTTCAAATGTCGTATTTCTCTTGTCAAGCCACTCCTGAACAACAAACAACATCAGAAGCGTCTTACCTGGGCTAAAGACAAACAGACCTGGTCTGTTGCTCAGTGGTCCAAAGTCCTCTTTTCTGATGAGAGCAACTTTTGCATCTCATTTGGAAACCAAGGACCCAGAGTCTGGAGGAAGAATGGAGAGGCACACGCTGCAAGATGCTTGAAGTCCAGTGTGAAGTTTGCACAGTCTTGTTGATGTGGGGAGCCCATTTCATCTGCTGGTGTTGGTCCACTGTGCTTCATTAAGTCCAGGGTCAATGCAGCCATCTACCAGGAGATTTTGGAGCACTTCATGCTTCCTTCTGCAGATGAGCCTTATGGGGATGCTGACTTCATTTTCCAGCAGGACTTGGCACCTGCCCACACTCCCAAAAGCACCAAAACCTGCTTCAACAACTGTGGGATTACTGTGCTTGATTGGCCAGCAAATTCACCTTACCTGAACCCCATAGAGAATCTATGGGGCATTGCCAAGAGAAAGATGAGAGACATGAGACCGAACAATGCAGAAGAGCTGAAGGCTGCTATTGAAGCATCCTGGTCTTCCATACCATCTCAGCAGTGCCACAGGCTGCTAGCTTCCATGCCGTGCTGCATTGAGGCAGTAATTGCTGTAAAAGGGGCCCAAACCAAGTACTGAGTACACCTGCATGCTTATACTTTTCAGAGGTCCGATATTGTTTTATGTTCCATTGTTTTATTGATTGCATGTAATATTTTAATTTTCTGAGATTGTGGATTTGGGGTTTTTATGAGCTGTAAGCCATAATCATCACAATTATGACAAATCACGGCTTGAACTATCTTGCTTTGCATGTAATGAGTCTATTGCATATATTAATTTCACCTTTTAAGTTGCATTACTGAAATAAATGAACTTTTGCACGATATTCTAATTTTTCAAGTTTAACCTGTATTATGACTGCTGGGATAATATGCTTCTGATAATTAAATTTATTGATTGGTATGATCTGTGTGCTACAGATAAGTCTGATGCTATTTGTTTGTTTCACAGAAACTGGAGAGATCTTTTTCTGTGGCCAGAATAAAGATGGACAATTGGGACTTGGTCATACTGAGGATGTGACAAATTTTACCTTATGTTCTTCTCTTTGTGGCTGTCCTGTCATACAAGTTGCCTGTGGCTGGGATTTTACAGTTATACTTGTTGGTAAATCTGTCATAATTTATTAGACTTGTATGCCACCCAACTCTCAATGATTCTGGGTGGCTCACAACAATCAAACAAAGACTTCCAATAAAATCAGTTAAAAGGAAAATATAAAGCTGGCAAGCATGATGAAATGATGGGTTTCACTTTCCCTTGGCAAAGGCTTGGAATACTGAAGCAAATCATTGTGCACAGTGAAAACCTTGGACCCTGTATATGCCTCCAAGAGGTTCCAAGACCTTCAGAGTTGGGTATTATGCATAAAAATTTAAAAATTACCTATTGTTGAGTGTTTGGAAATGGGATCATTTTCAACTGAATTAAGCACAATAATTAAGAACACAAGCTATGAACAAAGACTTTTCTACTCACCATGCAGCCAGTGCTTATAGAACTGTACAACTGAATAGTAAAGTTCAAAAATAAAGCTATAAAGTCCCATTCAGTTGCTTCCAATGGGATATAAATGTAATTAATATTTATTGAACTATACTGGCTTTTTAAAATAGCAAGAATTAGGTTGGACAAGACATAGTGAATTGTACTCATTTAAAGAGCACAAAGTTAACAGTTCTGTTTAATTGTTTTTACCACTATTCCTTCCTTCCTTCCTTCCTTCCTTCCTTCCTTCCTTCCTTCCTTCCTTCCTTCCTTCCTTCCTTCCTTCCTTCCTTCCTTCCTTCCTTCCTTCCTTCCTTCCTTTGACTTGCCAATGACACTGGGTGACTTACACAAAATTAAAACATGTTAAACTATCATTTCCTTATAAAAGTAAATCTCTGAAACTACTTTGCAGCTAGGTGACTTCTTTTCAGTTCTGTTTTTCAGCTGTTTTGCTGGGTTTAATTTTGTATATGGTTCCTTTAATTGCAGTTTCTATCTCATCTTTGTTCATTCTCTTATGCCTCTAATGTTCTAAAGTTCTTACACTGCGCTTAAGTTACACTAGAAATAAGTAATGAATATACAGGTGGCTGTTTTATGACCATTTGAAGTTACAATGAGCATGGAACAGATGCTTTGCAATCAGTAAAGCACCTCCAGATGTTGTAAATGGTTGCACCAGCCTTATGGTCATGTGACCACATGTCAATCTGGTCAGCTTTACAACCTATTGCAGCATTCCATGGTCATGTGACTGTGATTCTGCCAGTTTCTGGCAAAAAAATGCCCATTCAAATGAACGTGTTTGTTTAGTGATCACAGTATTTGCTTAATGACTGCCATGTTCTCTAAACGATCATTGCAAAAAAGGCAAGGAATTTACCTCAGGTCATAGTGCCCCGACTTATGACTGTAATGATTTATGACCTAATTCCGAAGCTCAATTATGGTTGTAAGTCAAGGACTACCTGTAGATAGATATCATGAGGGTCTATGGTTACATGAATTGGAATCAATCATAGAGCTATGCAAATAATAAGTATTGCATGGCATATTTCACTGAAAGTTTGTAATAGTTTTGACTTGAGGTAGACAACAAAGGTATTCAAATGTGCTGCTCTTTCTTTCAGGAAATGGCCAAATATTTTCCTGTGGTTCTAATTCCTTTGGACAACTGGGAATACCTGATATTTCAGGCAGATGCACTATTCCAGCAATGATTAAGGTGAGAGGTCTTGGAAAGTCAGTGCTTTTGTCACCAAAGCTTTTTAATCACCTTGTTAGAGAGAGGGGGAAAAAAGCAGTTTTGTAAAAATAAGATGATTTGTAAATTTTTGCTGTCATTTTGAGGCTATTTTATACTATCTTCACGCTTCCTGTTTGTATACCCATTTGAAAAATCAAATATTTAATTCAATAGAATTATTATTTTTTATGATATACGTTTCTCTCACCATCCTCTCACTTCTCTCACAGTCTTTACAGGATAAAGTAATAAATATTGCTGCTGGACTCAGGCACGCAGTTGCTGTGACTGGTGAGTTACACCTTTATAGTGAAATTAACAGTAATGAAGGTATAATACTGTGCCCAATCAAATGAGTTTAATTTTGCAGCTGAATTTGCTCTGTGAATTTGCTAGAAAAAAAACATGAAGTGTTTAAGAAATAATTCATTGATTCAGGCTAATATGAATCAGGTATTTTATGGAATATATTCTATGATGATTATTTTAACTTTCATGGATCCCTTAATAAAAGTCATTCGGAAGACTTTTAAAAGGAATTTATAGTTAGGATAATTTTGGTCTTTTACTCTCAGTTGTTTAAACTGTACAAATTGCTTAATAACTTTCATTAAATAAAACCCTGGAAATCAATGTTATATTGTTTCTTCTGACATTAACTGAGATGGTACGGCACTCATTCTAAAAGTGGCCCTCACTGATTGAAGGTGTAACATATCTTGAAAATAGTCCTTGGGTTACAACCCTAATTGGGACGTGAGTTTATGTTGCTAAGGGAAGTAGTTATTGAGAGAAACATCTCACACTTAACAACAGTGGTTCAGGATGTCCTGGTTGTGGTCGTTAGGTGACCTCCCAGCTTTCCCAGTGACTACTTATCAGAAGACAGAAGACAAAGTTGCAGATCATGTCCCCTGTTCCCTGACAGCTCCCACCCTGATCCAAGCTATTCCTGGCTTGGTTCTTCCCAGCTCTGAGCCTTCATGGATGCTTTCAAGGGATCACTGAGCCAGAAGAGGCTAGCTTGATTTTATGGCTCCGAATGAATTGTATTTGCTTCAGCTGCCCGTTGCCTATTTCCCCCCACCCATCTCTGAAGTTTTGTCCACCCTGTTTAGCATGGCTGAGATGAAAACATTGCTGTATTCTGCCATTGCCTTTTCCCTGCCATCATGACCTCCAATAGATTTTCCTCTCTGTTTCCTTTTCTGTACCATTATTGTCCTCTTTCTCCTCCTTGGCATTGCTTTACCTCTCCTGCGCTGGGGTTGCTGTCATTGGTGAGCTTCACGCCCCATGGTGCCCTTTCTGGGGTTGGAGGTGGTGATGAGAGGTGAAGCAGTGGCAAGAGGGAGGGACAGACCCACCACTGACATAGGCTGGCTGGTGTTGCTAAGTCTGGTCCAGATGCCGAAATAAAGGAGGAAGAAAAAGAAGATGACAGCTTCAGGGAGGACAAAGAGGAAGGTTCCCTTGGGGATGTGGTGGCAGTAGGAAGGTGGTGTCTTCATTTCAGCTGTGCTGTGCAGGGTGCCAAAAGTGGGTGAAGATAGGTTGTGAGGGCTTGGAGCAGAGGCATTTTGCACAGGATAAAAGAATGCGACTGTGGGATCCTGGGACAGTTGTAAGTGTGGGCGAGTTGCCAAGCGCCCAAATTTTGATTACAGGGATGCTGCAGTGACCAGAACTCTGAGAATGGGTTGCAGGTCCATTTTTTTCCAGCGCTGTTGTAACTTTGAACAGTTGCTGAACAAATGATCACAAAGGACTACGTGTACGGCTAAATTATGTTTTACATTTTATGTGCTAAATGGGAAGCTGATATCAATAAGACACATTAATGTATTTCTTCAGGCTGTTATCAGGGGAATAATTTTTAATCTTGACAATTTATTTTCCTTTTGTGTGAGCAGAAAATGGTTCTGTATTTCAGTGGGGAATTGGTATGGCATCTCAAGCAAAGCGAATGTGCCAAGAAAAAAATATTCCTTCTTTCTTGAGGGCAAAGGAACCTTGCAAAGTACCAGGTTTGTTTTTTAAAGCTATACATGATATTGATGCCTGTTTGGGGCTTTTGTGCATATATGCTTCCCAGAATCACTTTGCAGAGTGAGGTGGGCAGGATGTAAATGTGTCTTTGTAGTCTTTATTGTAGCTAAATATACTCAGATTTTTAAACTTTTCATAGCAGAGCCCTCGCTATCTTGGTAGCTCTTCTCTGAACTTGTTTTATTTTGCTATTACTCTCTTTGAATTTTGGTATACCCCTGTCATCCCAAGTGGGTTCTTATCAGATACAGTGAAATCAACAAGTATTTCCAATGATTTGGATTCTTTGATCCTATTAATATACCCAAAGATAGTATTTGCCTTTTTTACAGCTGCGTCATGATAGTGGCTCACATTTAAATCATAGATGAGAAGAATACCCTAGTGTTCATTTTTCATGTTAAGGAGAACAACACTTTTGTTGGATGTTCATATCTCATAATCTAAGACTTTGTTTTTCCTGCAGGAAACCTGGGAATCAAGGAATTATAGTTCAAGGGAGGACATTCCCAAACCTCACTATTGCTATTCATATTATCTTCAATGGTTTTCATAATAGCAACATTTCTTCTGTTCAAACTCCTGTAGCAACTCAGGCTACTTAAACCAACTCATGGTTCTTGAACATTAATTTCATTGTAAATCTACATGCATGCATTTTTAAAGAATATTCAGCCATATCAAAGTGACCCTTGATCTATTAAAATTTGCTTGTGGTTTAGTAACCCAACATCTTATACAGCCATGATTTCTAGGTATATATCATTGTTTTAAGCTTTAGTTTTGTTTGTGACATTATGTAATATACAAAATCTCTTTGAAAGGAATTGTCTCTTTAACTCATGAAATAAATGGATTACTCTCCTAGGTTTGGAAAATGTCAAAGTGAGGAGTGTAGCTTCTGGCTCACATCATGTTGTGTCACTCACAGGTATGTTTCCTTGTCCGCACCTATTCCTTTGGTTGGCTGAACCATACAAAACATTCTGTTTCTGATATTAGTTTTGGAGAAATTTAATTTGCAACTATGGCTAATTGCATACAATGTGACCTGTGCATTGTTTCTTGTGCTTTGGCATTTCTGAATTGTAGCTTCCTTTTAAAGTTAAGTTTTTTACTATTTGTGCATAGAGCAATGACATTTAATCATTGTATCTGTGTCTTTAACAAATGATACAGAAAATTCTTAATTGCTATTTTATTCTTTCTCTCCTTTTAAGACAATGGAGATTTATATGTTTGGGGAAACAATAAGCACAAGCAACTATTAAGTAAAGACTCTGTTGTTTTGGAACCTCAGAAGATTGAAGCCCACTATTTTGAGGGTGAAAAAATCAGAAGAATTTGGAGTGGTTGGACACACTTGGTGGTACAATCAGGTATATCCTAAAAAGCTGTGTCTAAAATAAAACAACATCCATTTGATTGAAAATAATATTTGTATGGACCTAAAAAGGGATTTTAGACAGAGATATGTGGAAGACATGGCAAAACATTGTGTCAGAAAAATATTTAATTTTTAATATGAATGTGCTGATTGGTCTTCATGCTAAGATGTACTTTTGTGTTCCCTTTCTTCGCTTTCCTGTTCTGAGGTAATATTGAGGTATTATGGTATTATTGCATCTTTGCAATTTTGCAAAGATAATTGCAACTTTGCCTAGCTATGCAAGAATAAACTATACTATATGTCCAAACATAAAAACTCCCTAAAGTATATTTTCTACTGTTAGAAATTCTTAACACAGAATGCAACAGATGCCAACATGAGTTTTAGAAGGATTTCCCCCCCAATATATTATTTTAGACTATGACTCCAGACAATGATTTGATAGAATAGCCATATATTGTACTAAAATACTCCTGTTTGTAACCCTAACATTTAATTAACTCAAATGATGCATTATAAGAATTATCAGGATTTTATACGAATCTATATTCCTAATATGCCATCAGTTTTGGACAGAAATGCTATTCATTGCAGCTTTTCACAGTAGCTGTTTATTTTTAGGCTTAGATACAATATATCTTTTTTCTTTAAATAAGGTACTATGACTCCATTTCTTCATTAGTGAGATCATGTGTTTTGTAAGGGAAATAATACACTGCTCAAAAAAATAAAGGAAACACTTAAACAACACAATGTAACTCAAAGTCAATCACACTTCTGTGAAATCAAACTGACCACTTAGGTAGCAAAACTGATTGACAATCAATTTCACATGCTGTTGTGCAAATGGAATAAACAACAGGTGAAAAGCATAGCAAGACATCTCCAATAAAGGAGTGGTTCTGCAGGTGGTGACCACAGACCACCTCTCAGTTCCCTATGCTTTCTGGCTGATGGTTTGGTCACTTTTGAATGCTGGCGGTGCTTTCACTCTAGTGGTAGCATGTGATGGAGTCTACAACCCACACAAGTGGCTCAGGTAGTGCAGCTCATCCAGAATGGCACATCAATGCGAGCTGTGGCAAGAAGGTTTGCTATGTCTGTCAGCATAGTGTCCAGAGCATGGAAGTGTTACCAGGAGATAGGCCAGTACATCAGGAGACACGAAGGAGGCCTTAGGAGGGCAACAACCCACATCAGGACCGCTACCTCCGCCTTTGTGCAAGGAGGCACAGGAGGAGCACTGCCAGAGTCCTGCAAAATGACCTCCAGCAGGCCACCAATGTGCATGTGGCTGCTCAAATGGTCAGACTCCATGAGGGTGGGTATGAGGGCCCGATGTCCACAGGTGGGGGTTGTGCTTACAGCCCAACACCGTGCAGGATGTTTGGCATTTACCAGAGTACACCAAGATTGGCAAATTCGCCACTGGCGCCCTGTGCTCTTCACAGATGAAAGCAGGTTCACACTGAGCACATGTGACAGACGTGACAGGGTCTGGAGATGCCACGGAGAACGTTCTGCTGCCTGCAACATCCTCCAGCATGACTGGTTTGGCAGTGGGTCAATAATGGTGTGGGGTGGCATTTCTTTAGAGGGCTGAACAGCCCTCCATGTGCTCGCCAGAGGTAGCCTGACTGCCATTAGGTACTGAGATGAGATCCTTAGATCCCTTGTGAGACCATATGCTGATGCGGTTGGCCCTGGGTTCCTCCTAATGCACGACAATGCTAGACCTCATGTGGCTGGAGTGTGTCAGCAGTTCCTTCAAGGTGAAGGCATTGATGCTATGTACTGGCCCTCCCATTCCCCAGACCTGAATCCAATTGAGCACATCTGGGACACGATGTCTCGCTCCATCCACCAACGCCACGTTGCACCGCAGGCTGTCCAGGACTTGGGGGATGCTTTAATTCAGGTGTGGGAGGAGATCCCTCAGGAGACCACCTGCCACCTCATCAAGAGCATGGCCAGGCATTGTAGGGAGGTCATACAGACACGTGGAGGCCACACACACTACTGAGCCTCATTTTGACTTGTTTTAAGGACATTACATCAAAGTTGGATCAGCCTGTAGTGTTTTTTTCCACTTTAATTTTGAGTATAACTCCAATTCCAGACCTCCATGGGTTGCTAAATTTGATTTCCGTTGATAATTTTTGTGTGATTTTGTTGTCAACACATTCAACTATGTAATGAATAAAGTATTTAATAAGAATATTTCATTCATTCAGATCTAGGATGTCTTATTTTTGTGTTTCCTTTATTTTTTTGAGCAGTGTAGTGTGATTGCACTGGGGCTTCAGTTTAGTAGACCAGACAAAAGTGAAATTGGCAGAAGTTTTGTCAGCTTCTTCTACCTGCAAACATCGTCTACCCCATAAGTCAGGGAAATTATCTCATGTTATGGGATCATTTTCTTTTTCTTGCTTGCTTGCTTGCCTCATTGCTTCTAAGGATTTGGGAATGAAAGCAATAGCGTGTAAGGACCCATCTTTGCAGCATGTTTTATTTAAAAGAATGTAAAGCCAAAAATAAAAATCATTCTTTTTATAATTGATATTTTTGTGAGAATGGGAGTAGATTCTATAATGTTGCAGATGTAAATTAGGTTATCTAAGAATCTCATTGAAATGGTTTGACTAAAGGAAGTTCTAAATATAGCAGAAATGTGTTGAAGAAGAAAGGAGAGAACAAAGTCTTAAGCCTTTAAAAGGTGAGTCATCCTTGGTTCAGAATAACTGTCTTCCTCCTTATGCTGGTAGCCAATAACAAATAGAGCCTTAATTAGAGTTTATTTATCTTTGTGGTGTTCTGAATAAATCTGCAGATTGTTTGTTATGCATTTAAAAAAATAATTCTCAGTACATTAAAGACATATACATCCTTCCTTACGAAAATGGATTGAAGGAAATGGGGAAAAATGCTTACAGTGTCATTCCCCACACCCTGTCCAACTGCAACTATACCAAAAGCCTATATAAGGAATATACCATAGAATTATAAGCTGAGCTGGGTAGCTCCAGATAGCTTCTGCAGTAGAAAAGAAATATGTTATCCCACCCAGTAGGCTTCTGTTGTGGATCGGGATCTTGTACTAAAAAATTCTGAAAAACACTTTTCTTCACGTGTAGTATTAAAAGGCACACTGCAATGTCTTAGAGAAGTACTAAATAGGATTTATTTTGTTGATGAATGTATTCTACAAGTAGTGTTGTCTTATGGTTAAAGTTTTAAACTAGGAAGACTAGGAGTCAAATTCTATCTAATCTAGGATTTTTATAAGGCCTAAAATGTAGTCTGGTGAGATAAAAAAGTAATGAATATTTTCAGGTACTTTTAAATACATGAGGTCCATACATGAGGTTGAATCTATCTTTCTTTCTTTCTTTCTTTCTTTCTTTCTTTCTTTCTTTCTTTCTTTCTTTCTTTCTTTCTTTCTTTCTTTCTTTCTTTCTTTCTTTCTTTTCTCTCTCTCTCTCCTTCCTTCCTTCCTTCCTTCCTTCCTTCCTTCCTTCCTTCCTTCCTTCCTCCCTCCCCCCCTCCCTCCCTCCCTCCCTCCCTTCCTTCCTTGCCATATATTGCTGTGTTATTCATACACCAACTTCAGTAGTTTACAATAAATCATAAAACATAGTTAAAAAGAAAGGTACCCTTTCTCTCCAGATACTAAACCAAGTAACCTTACACTCAGTCCCCATCCTAGCTCAATGCTTGGGGAAAGAGCCAGAGCTTCATAGCCTTTTGGAAGGTTAAAAGAGTAAAGAGCCCTGTGATCTCAATGGAAAGCTGTTCCAAAGGGCTGGGGCCATCACTGAGAAGACATGGCTTTGTGGTTCCATCAGGTGGCAATGTTTAAGGAAGGGGATCTGGAGCATATCAATCCTATCTAATGGAGTAAGGGCTGGCAAATACCTTCAGGCAAAGGTGGTCCTGCAAACAACTGGCCCTGGAAATTCATGTTTGTTGCTCTGATAGAAGGTGATGTTGGGGTTAAGCATCCTTCACTTGATGGCTGTGGTTTGTGCAATCCATTATATAGGGTAATGTGAAAGGGTTAAATTAAGGGTTTGTAGTGTGGAATATGGGGATAATGTGTAAGAGAAGAGGATGCGGAGTTAAATGTATTATCAGTTTAGAATCCTTATGTTTCCACGATCAAGTCATGTCTAGCCCCCACCCTCCAAATTCTGTTGACTCTTATCTAATGTCAATTTATAGCTGACTATTAGTCGATTCTTGTGTATAGACTTGAATAAATTTTCTGTGCTGCAACTTAACATATGGGCCTGATTCTTTTTGCCAGACACAATGGTATTCATTCCTTGGTAGTTCCAAATTCTTTGTCTTGTTTATTTATTTTTATAAATAAAGTCACTCAATTTTTTAAAAAAGAAACATAGTATACAACAAACCAGTACAGGTGAGCCACGGTGGCGCAGTGGTTAGAGTGCAGTACTGCAGGCTACTTCTGCTGACTGCCGCCTGCCTGTAATTTGGCAGTTCAAATCTCACCAGGCCCAAGGTTGACTCAGCCTTCCATCTTTCCGAGGTGGGTAAAATGAGGACCCAAATTGTTGGGGGCAATATGCTGACTATAAACCACTTAGACAGGGCTGTAAAGCACTGTAAAGCGGTATATATGTCTAAGTGCTATTGTGATTGCTACAGCAGACTGAGGCATAATCTCTATTCTCAGAAAAGTCTCTGAGCCCCATTTCTCATATTGACCAGAAGCATTTTTAAAAAATAACTGAAAAGAGAGGGGAGAGAAAGATTGACTTACAAATCTACGTGGACTTGAACATTTAGGTGTGCTGATGGTTTACATGCTGCTATAGCATGTAATGCCTTATTGTAGAAATGCTGTCTATTTAGGAAGTTCATTATATTTCAAGTAACAATTCATATTCTGTGTTACTGGGGCTATTCTGTGACTTTAGTCTGAATCTCAGAAGTGTTGCTTAGGCCACATAAAACAGAGGATAT